CACCGTCTCCCCACGCTTCAGCTGCTCTGCCACAGAGCTGGGAAGGGAAGAGGGGACAGCGGGCACCACAGGCCAGTGCTGCCCCTGCAGAACCCTGCGCTTGGTGCAACCATGAGTTGGGTCACTTTCTCCCTCCCCAAAGCCCAGCACCCCAGGTCTCCTCCCCTTTACCCAGCACAGGCTGCAGAGCCGGGCTGGGGACCCCGCGCCTGTCTGGCGGTGGGTGCAGGCTGGCACCCATCCCCGGGACGCTGCGCGCTCCCGTCTCCCCCATCCTGGCAGGATCTGGTAGAGCAGGTTCTCTGCCTTGCGCTTCTCCTCCAGGTAGGCCTGTGTCCGCTCCTCCACCAGCTTTTCCAGGTTGTTGGCATACTGCTCCATGCGTGACAGCAGGTTGTCCAGGATGCTGGTGCTGCCCTCCCTGGGGGGACACGGGCACATGGGAAGCAGGGGGGCCGTGACGCACTCTCACTCCCAACAGGGTGAGGTGTTCCCCCAGGGTGGCTCCAGGCACCCATGGCCGTCCCCCTCTCTGCCGGCACCCACTTGTTGAATCTGCGGATGAAGATCTTGATTTGGCCGAAGTCGGGGCGCTCGGCGGGCTCCTGCGCCCAGCAGCGCTCCATGAGCATGGCCAGCTCCTCGCTGTGCACGCTGATGTCGATGGAGGGACGGAAATACGGCTTCTGGCTGTTGCGCACCTTCTGCACGATCTCTGCCGGCACGGGGGGATGCGGTGTCAGCACCGGAGCGCGGGCACCGCGGCAGGGCCGCTCCATCCCGTCCTTCTCTGTGCCCCCCCACTTCTCACCTTTGGGGCTCAGGTCCATGCCCTCAATGTAGAAGGGGCCGTTGCGCAGGGCGATCTCCTGCATGATGATTCCGAAGCTGTACACGTCAGCCTTCTGCATGCCCTGCGGGAGCAGCTGGCCCTTCTGCAGCAGCTCTGGTGCCGTCCACAACTTCTCTGGCAGGACAGGGCCACGAGGCAGTGAGACAGGATCACCCCATCCCACCCCACGGGGACCAAGGTAGGGCTGCCTAGGGTCTGGCGCTCACTGGCGTAGAGGGTGTGTGTGTCCTCGCTGTCGCAGGGCGAGCGGAAGCTGGCCAACCCATAGTCGGTGATCTTCAGCACGAAGCGTCTGTCCACCACGCAGTTGGATGACTTGAGGCTGCCGTGGTGCCCGATGATGCTGTTGTGCAGGAAGGCCATTCCCTGCGCCCAACAGACGGACAGTCAATGCAAAGCTGGCACCCTCGAGCAGAGCCTCAGCACCCATCTCTTAGCCCAGCATCCTCACTGGGGTACCTTGACGATGTCATTGATGAGTGAGTAGCGAAACATCCAGTCCAGATTGATGCTCTCGTTCTCCAGGACGTCCTGGTGAGAGTGTGTTGGATGTGAGCAGAGTCTTGCTGAGCACCGCTGGACAGCAGCACCAAGCACTTGGCCTCACAGGGAGCCAAGGCTTGGCTTGATCAGGGTGGCTTGACCCTGTCCCATCCATGAGTTTCAGATCTTTGACAACACTGGCCTGGGACAGGGACCGCCCTGTCCCATCCAAGAGCCTCCACCCCACCGGCACCACCCTTCGCA